GTAGCGGCTCTCAATTTTGATTTGTGTGCCATTCAGTCATGGGCTAAGTCATTTGATCTCCTGGTTAATCCCGCTAAGTCTCAAGCCATGACTGTAGGTAGTTGCAGATTAAAGTGCAAGTTAGATTGGTCGTCGGTAACTGCGTTGGTATATAATGGAACTGCCATTGCATATACCGACAAAGTAAAAAAATTGGGGTTAGTAATGGACAGCACCTTATGGACTTCTCATGTCAATGAGGTCAGTAGACGAATGCACTACTCATTCCATTCTCTCAAACGATTCCAATACTTTCTCCCTTTTCATACCAAAATTATGCTTGCGCAAATCCTTCTTCATCCCATACTAGACTATGCAGACGTTTGTTACTAGGATTTAACCGGAGAGCTTCTGAACAAACTAGAGCGCTTATAAAACCTAGCTATCCGATTTATTTTCGGATTGCGTAAACATGATCATATCTCCGAATTTCGCGGTCGGTTAAAATGGCTACCAGTTCACCTCCACCGTGATGTGCATATCCTGTCCACACTTTCTAATATACTTAATGATCATAACTCCTACCTCCTACCTTCGTTCCCGGTTTAAGCTGCTGCCTCCTCCCATCACTAAGATGCTCGTTCGTCCCAGCTGCAATACAAATTTCTTTTTTAACTCTTTTTCTTCTCGAGCAGCGCAATTGTGGAACAGACTCCCTTCTCACTCCAATCTAGTCCGTCGATCGCTTCCTTCAAGAAAAGGTTGATAGCGCACTTTCTTGCTGAACTATCTACGTAATCATCTTATATGTGTATTTTATTTATGTATTGTGTATATGTGTGTATTACCTTAAATATTTTACGTGTTTATAATGCTTATGTAAGTAGTATCTTTTTTTTTTATTATTATTTTTCTTTTGTTTACAGACTAAATTTATTATTTACAGTGAATAGCGACATCTCTCGCCAGGACTGGTAGCTGTAAAGGTACTAACTGGGTGATAAATCTGTCATAGATTTCTCATAGATGGCGTTACGACTAAAAAGTCGTTGAAAGACCAAGTACAAAGACACGACGCAAGCACATAGAAAAATTCGAGAGGTCCGTTGGTTGAAAATCGATCAAATAAAATATTTTTTTGCGAAATATAAGCTATCCTGTGCTAAAAACACGATAAATAAATTTTAAAAATATACATTGTTCATGTTCCAACCAAAAAATCATTCCCTCACGCTTTTACCTTCACTCGATTTGTGAACGCATTTTTAATCTTTGGTAAATGCATTTACAAGTTTTTGAAAGTTAGCAGCACTGTAAACGTTGCAAAATGACAAAATTCTAACTTGTGTGTGTAAAAAGTTTCTACTATGAAAAGATTTAATATAAAATTCTCAAAGTTACATTTTTGACAGTCATTCCGTCATATCACTTAAAATTTATACACTCAGATGACTTATTGGTAGCAGTAAGCTTACACAAAATATTAAGTCTAAAAGTAAGTTTATATCGTTATTTTTCTTTGCTTATTTTGATTTTGTCATTACCTCAACTTCAAACGTTGACTACCCTCTTCATTTTTTAAAAGTCATTTATTTCGGGAGACCACTATATCATCAAAAACTATTTACATAAGTACTAGTAGAGATTTACAAGAAATAAATACAAGTTCTTCCAAACTCGAAAATTAAATAATGTTTCAGGGTAATTACGTCAAAGTTGTCGAGTAAACAATTTACTAACATGTTTTCCACTTCGTTTATCATTATCACATTTCATGCTAAAAATCATTTGTTTATTCTTAATTGTATTTTGTTTGTGTATTGCCCTAATTAATTTGTTTTGAATATATTAATTAGATGTTTGCGATTTGTCACAGCCAAAAGATAGCTAGATTATGTTTCCAGTGAGTAATTTAAGCATCAATTTAAAACTCATTGATTATATATACTTAAGTTCGCGCCCTTTTCCCACAGGAGGGGTAGGCAGAGACCACAGAACGCCACATCGAGTAAAGTATAATATTATAATGTTTTACCACCACTATATTCATTCCTTTTGTGTGATTCTGCTCCACTAGTTTATTATAAATATTAATACAAAGATCGAACACCTCTGGAAGCTGTACCTGGTTTAGTAAAGAGAAGCTTTCTTAGATTTCTCATGGACCCTTTAAAATCAAAAATCTGTGACAAACGTATACAAAAATTCGTAAAGTCCGTTCAATCGATCTGTCACTCTGTTGGTAGAGCTGTCACCCTGGTATGGTACGGACAGAATTTTCCTTCATCTTCATTAATAATTATCTACATATATACAGATCTACAAATATACTAATAAATGTATACAGATCTTTGTATTACTATAATATATATTTTCACAGTTCTGCAATTCCTCTGATGAAAAATGTCAATCTCTTAAGTCTACAAGAGATTTTTTTTGAATCTCAAGTGACGGAACCAACAAGTCGTGCGCCTGGTGGTAAGCGACACGCCTGTCTATAGCGGTTGCAGTGCCACTTAAAGATTTAAATCGCAAAGATCGGAGAGGCACTGCCATAAGTTGACACGTCAAAACTTTAACACAGCTTACTGCTTGGTGGCAGAAATAGGTGAGGAGCTTTACAGCTACAAAATATTAATGAAAAGATGAAAAAAGATTTAATAATAATAATATAATATAATAATAATAACACACACTCAACACAGCCCCGCACTAGGGAAACCCTGTGTCGCGGGTGCCGTGGACACACACATAGACAACAACAAATTACACCCAAACTCACGATTGAAATAAATGTAGGCCATATAAATATTTCTCCCGGCCCGTGGATCGAACCTGGGACCTCCGCGTATCATGGTAACCGTTCGGTCATGGAAGCAGTTATTTCATTTGCAATTTCCTTCAATTAATTAATTTAGCAATAATTGAGTATATAAACTTTTGTAACTGTCGTTCAGAAAAGGATGGTTGGCATTAATATTAGACTTAACCCGTTAATGACTTTACCATCTCAGTCAACCTTAACCATGGGACCTGTAAAAAATCCGAAATGTTTGTTGATTTATTTGAAAACAAAAACAAATAAATATACGTGATATACAGGATGTAATCGTTAAGTGTGCCCTGGCGATTATTACGTAAATATAAGAGATATCAAAAACCTTTAAACTGATATCGAAAATACGTTACCGAATGAGTAAATTGACATCATAAATTTTTAAAGAAATTTGAAATAACCAAAATTGTAACATTAAACGCTGTCATACATTTAATATCGTAGAGAGGCTTTAGTTTACCTATTTTAAGAGGTAACAATAAGTTTACAGATAACAAAACAGCTATAAATAAAGTAATAAAACTTACTTTTAATTGAATAAAAATTATAATGGCATAGTCATTTTTTTTTAATAATATCAAGTGACGGGACGAGCGTCGTGCGAGTCGTGCGCCTGATGGTGAGCTACAAGCCTGCCAATAAGAAATTGCAGTGCCACTCAGAGCTTTAAATCTGAGGGGTTAGGGACATAAGTTGACAAGTCTCATGTGCCTATAATTTCACCAGCACCCTTCTAAACCGGAACACAGTAATGTTGACATTACTGCTTGGCGGCAGAAATAGGTAAGGTGGCAGTACATTCCCGGACTCTTTCACAAGGAGCTCTACTACTCCTAAACGTCTATTTAAATCTATTTGTATCAGGTCAAGTGTGAGTTGTCCATAAAAATGAGTAAATCGACTCAGTTTCATGTAAGGACCATTTCATTGTATTGGACAAAAAAAATGCCTAGGCTGTCGTGCTAGATCCCTGCCTGCTCTTAGGTGTCATAACAGACTAAGTTTATTAATTCTTGATATTACAAAAGTAATACTATTTTGCGACATAATGTAACATAAGTACTTGTGTTATAAAAATCGGAAACAACGACGGTAAACCGACACCTTGGTACATTCCTTTATTTTAAATTAAATTCTCCTTTGCATTATTTCGCCATCAATAAAATAGAATGTAAAAAGACCATCAAATTGTGGCTTAAGAGGGAGCATGCCAAAAAAGTTTTAACGTTGGCTCCGCCCAAATTTGTGAAACAAACATATGCCTGAAGTTCGCGTGGCATGCGACAGGAGATGTTGAATTTTGCGCATTAAAAGTACCAAATTCGTTTTAGCGGAATGAGCAGAGGTCATTTCGTGATTTTTATCTATCTAAGAAACTTTATTGTTTTATATTTCTGATTAATGTCTATGCTTGAATATATCGTGTAGTTACTCATACAATATTTTATTTTTAACTTTAAAGTGTATATACCCCTCTAAAATCAAATTGAAGATTAGGAATTTTTCCTCTGCTCCCTCTTAAGAATAAAATTTACAATGAAACAGAGGACTTGCTGGAAGTTGTTTCTTATTATTTTTATATAGGTAACCATTAATTTGTAACTACTAATTATTTTATTGTTAAATATAGAAAATCTCTTTTTAAGCTGTAATGTAAAGAAATTTGCTCAATTTTACAGGCATCTCAATTACACATTAGGTTCTAATATTAAAATGTATAGCTTTATTATGAAGAATGTATAATTTAGATTCCCTCCGTAGTGCTTATATTAATACCTTATTGGCTTTACTTACATTTGTTTTACCTGTATTGTAATGGATTAAGTTATTTTGAAATAAATTTATTTTTATCTTTACCCATACCCTAACAATATAAAAATATTATTTTCCACATTGACCCGGCCGGGGATCGATCCCGGGACTTTACTGATGATGCCGTCATGAAAACAGCTGTGCAGGCCACTTGATCAACGAAAAAACCGTTCATCTTTTTTGATGGATTTCAGTCTGAATTGTCATATGCAGTAAGTTCATATTCTAACACGTCGGAAGTCTTCCACCGACCTTTGCCATCCCATCGAGCAAATGTTAGATTTCATATTTCGAACCTGCTCCCATTGGTCGATCGTCAGCACCCGCGTCTATAAAAGGAAGTGCGAGTACGCCGTGCCCGCACTTACCTTCCTGCCGGGGTAACGTATTGTAGTATTAGGTATAGACTGATAACTTTGTGTTAGTAGTGCTGCTTTGCCCCAGCCATCATGGGGAAAAGTATACGGTTGAGCTATTGTGTTCTTTTTGTTGTTTCCGTTTTATGGAAAACCGCCGTTGCTGGTAAGTCCTGAAAACATTTTTTTATATCCTTCTTCCTTTTTTTGTGTAATCGCAAACCATCTCTGTACAGCATCCTAACATGAGTTCGAAATAACTTCATGAAGCTCTGGCTTTCTTTCTATAACGCTTCTAGGAAAACTACTATGGTGTTTAGATACCCAGAGATTCGGAGATTCGGTTTGTCTTTCCTCTTTAGAATTCATAACATTTAATGAAGGAAATTAATTGCACGTTAAATGTGCTTATATATAAATATGAAAGGCCTGACTGCGTTTCGGGGCGTCCTGGCAAGGAGACTGCAAATGTTTCTCCTTCCGATGGCAAAAGTACCTGCCAGCTTTCTAATGGCTTAAAAATTATGAACTGAAGTTATGAATAATAATTCCTACCCTTGATTTAATAAAGACATAGAAACATACATAATGTTTCATCGGCATGATATTTTTATGGAAAATTACTCTACTAATTTGTTATAATTATTAATACAAAGATCGAAAACTTAGGAAAATTTCCTTCAATGCGGTTAGATTCGAAACAACGTCTTCTGGCAAACAGTGGTAACTGCTATGCCAACGGAACGAACCAGCGCACGTTACATATTCTATGTGCTTGTTGCAGATCTTGGCTTAGTTTTTTTGGTTCGTTCCGTTTAGTTAGCATAGCGTCTGACACGATTTGCTAGAAGACGTTGGTTCGAATTCAACCGGATCGAAGGCATTTTCTCCTGTTTAAATTTCGACCAATATCATTCGTAGAATCTTGAAACCTCTCTCATGAAAAGTTGTTATTTGAAATACAATTACAAATACAAAATCAAAAATATAAGACGATGAATCCTAAACTGACACTTAAGATTTAACTTCATGAAAATTCACCTCTATGCCGTATGTAATAAAAACGTTTCAAAACCCAAAGTATTGAGCTAGATTTGCTCTCGACTGAACCGTCTTCGTAAGTAATTATTGCTCACATATCGTTTGTATATAAGGATATATACTATATAATCTAAAACCCTAATGATAGACACTTTTTTGAAAGATCGTTTACAACAACTGGAATTATCAGGTATAGTTAATAACAATGTTACTTAGTTAATTACAGTTTGATCTTTATTGCAATGAACTTAAACGTTCTTTCCCTTATCGACTTAGTATTTAATATTTTAAAGTTTTAGTGCCACTCAGAGCTATAAATCGCAAAGATCTGAGGGGCACTGCCACGCCGCTCGTTACTCTGAGGCATCGGGTATATAACCATAAATAGAGACGAAATATTTAATTTGTTTGAAAATTATTCTGCCAAATAATTACGGTGACAACTGCGCTCCGATTGGCCAGCCGGAATTCGAAACAATTGCCGGATGTCGTCAATTGTTTCGCTTCAAATCGACGAGTTTAACTTGAGCATTGCTATAATGGACGAAAGTTGCAAAATTACATATTTAATATTGAATTACCGATGAAATGTGATTCCGTTTGTTTTGTAATTAGATGTTTCGCAGTTTATCCTACACCACAGCATGGAACATCCCCCAATAGTTAGAGATATTGTCTTTATTACAATAAATAGAGAATATTTTTGGAATATACGGACACATACACATAGGTCAGTTGTTGGCGCTGGACTACCAGCTTTCTAATTCGTGAATTCGGTGCAAACAAGAGTTGATATTTAAAAGTGATATAAGGCCCATTTACCAGATTACTTGCCTGGGATAGATGGCCTTTATTTCGTCTCCATTTCTGGTTATATACTCGATGCCCTGGGCATAAGTTGACAAGTACCATGTGCCTGTAATTTCACCAGCTCCCATCAAAACCGTAACGTAGTAATGTAAAGAGTAACATAGTTACTACTTGACGATCGAAAGCTCTTCTATGTTATGTCAATTTCTATATAATTATTAATTTGTGTCCTTTAAAAGCAGCTTAAAACTTGCTGTCAAGACATATCGACCTTTCACCCTATGTATAATTATTTTCCTAACGATTTCTCTTATATACATACACTTATGTACATAAATAGGTACCTACATATGTATAGATAAGACTTGTAACTATGTGATAAAAGTACATTCGCAACGTTGAAAATGTAAACAACGTATCGAGAACTTTAACCTCAGATATTGTTATCTTGTCGTAGCTTTTTCTTTATACAAAGTCAATGTCGTTAAGTAATTTTTAACGTTTTATAGAAATAATAAAACGATCACATGCCTGGTCTTAAACTAGGGAATTTCCTACGCTAAAAGCACCAGAACAACCACCAAAACGAGAACCAATCCAGAAAATTGCTCTACCGGCAATTGAATACTAAATTCCTTTTTTCTATTATTATATGATTATTATTTTAATAGCAGTAGCACTCTTTGTGAAAGAGTTCTGAGAGAGAGAGAGTGAGTTGTGAGAGAGTCCAGGGAAGTACTGCCACCTTACCTATTTCTGCCGCCAATCAGTAATGTGAGCATTACTGCGTTCCGGTTTCGAAGTGCAGGGGTGCTGGTGAAACTACAGACACATGGGACTTGTCAACTTCTGTCTCCTGGTGACGGGCGCAGAGGCAGTGCCCCTCAGATCTTTACGACTTAACACTCTGAGTGGCACTGCAACTGTTACGGACAGGCGTATAGCTTACCACCAGGTACACGACTTGCTCGTCCCTTCACTTGATATAATTTATACAAAAAAAAAACTAACTTCATCAACAAGATTCTTTGGCTTAGTGTTTAACTATGCCTTACGCAGACAAAGACCTGGCAACTTGAGATGATTAACTTACTTAAGGGGTTTGCCACAAGCTTTTAAAACAATATTACTTTAAGCTTACAATAACTTTTCACACCATGACACGTTTAAAGTAAGTTACAAACACATATGAACCAGTGCTACTGGTTTGTGCTTTTTGCGGTTGAGACCTTGGGCACTTGAGGCCACAGGCGAAATTTCTAGTGATCGAGCTCTCCAATCGTGTCGTAAAAGCTCCCGGTAACAAGGCAAGTTATTTCTGCTAAAGAATAAGTTTAGCTATTCAAAGGGGAAATTATGCCAGCCTTTTTGGGCACGATGCCTCAGTGAGCTCGAGGACATTTTCCGGCTTACAAACTTTCAAATACCCTACTTCATATTATTTCTCAAAATTGTCATACATAGTCTATGTGTCAGTTATATACAAATTATAAACAAACCGCTTGCAGACAAGGATATGATGGGCATTGGTCATTTAAAATTTAACAAGAAATTTTAGACCCATGTAGTATTTAAATCAGGGTTTTTCAACCTGTGGTCCATGGACCCCTAAAGTATCCATGCAATGAACACTGAGGGCTTATGGCGAGCCGTCTTCTTCTTATTAGAGTGCCTCTTCAATCCTGAAGGTTGACCGTCAGCTTCCTGTATCTATCTCTACCGGCAGCCAACCGGAACAGCTGTTCGACGGAGGCAATGCCGGTCCACTTCCAGATGTTCCGCAGCCACGATTTCTTTCTTCGCCCAGCGCTTCTCTTTCCCTACACTTTGCCCATCATCATCAGCTGTAGCAGCGCGTATCTATCGTTCCTGATCACGTGACCAAGGACTTTTCGATAGATGGCATCATTTTTCCGGGACATACGAACATAATACATGAATGTAAAAATTGGGAAACAGGTACCTACAGTGCGCGCGACCTTTTAAATTTTCGCGCCTTTTGACGGTCATCCATTATTGCAGCGAGCGAGACACACACAAAGTTATATTTTGATTTAATCGTCACCAATGAAACACATAGTCCAATCATCTTTATTTCATTGAGCAAATTACACTTGAAGTCGTCATATTGATTACACTCTACTGCTCATTCGTACGGCAGATTCCCCTGAGAAGAATGATCAAGAAGCTCTAGGGATTGGTCTTTTGGTCTTTGTACATACACATTTGAATACATTTATCATTGCAATATTTCAAAGTCAAAGTCAAAGATATTTATTCCATAGGTAAAATAAATTTACACTTGAAAACGTCACATTTAAGCTACTGCTCGTTCACTACGCTGACAACCCTGAGAAGAACGAGTAAGAAACTCGAGGGATTGCTCTTTTCAAATAAACTTAAATGCTATGGAATACACTTTGAGTCAAATTTGTGTGGATTCTGGAGCCGTATCGTCTTTCCATACATATTTATATAACACTTAGTCTTCAGTTTTGTAATATGATTTCTCGATCAAAATATTTTAATATATTTATTTAAGACATCCTAAATCGAGAATACCTGTCGGAGCTAAACGGGTCGCTACCACGGATTTTTGTCGTCCAAGTACGCAGAAGCTGTGTAATAATAACCTTTAGAATAAAGTTTTTGTTTCACTATAGTTTTAAACCTCATAAATGGCCAATTTTGAATATGACCCGATATCTTATTATAGAAGCGTACACATTGCCCCTTAAACGAATTTCTGACTTTATGAAGACGACTACTGAGAACAGCTAGTTTATTTTTATTCTTCGTATTAATGTTATGGCTGTCACAATTTCTCATAAAAAAAACTATTCTTCTTAACTTATATTACATTTTCATAAATGTAACGCTAGAGTGAGAATATTAATATCTTTAAACTATCTCTCAAAGACACTTTGGGGCCCAGATTCAGGAGAGAATCAGGACAAAGATCCTATTAATATCAATATTAAGAAAATAAAATCTAAAATAATATTGTTTCCATTGCGCACGAGTAACCATGTTAAGATTGTTAAAATTGACGTAAGAACAATATTTACTAAATCGCGTCGTAGTACAAATTCAATGAATGAATAGTCACAAAGCATTATAATGTTAAAAATCTTAGTCTTAACATTATAATAAGCTTATTTTAAGCGCGTCACGGTACGAAAAGATAATGTACAGCTAAAGTACCTAGGTAATATTGTTTTAAGAGGTTATGATAAGCCGTTACACAAACATTTGTTACCATTATACGTCACAAATTAATGTATAGAATTAACTACTTTGTTTAAATAAAAATAT